TAGCCTGGGAAAGCAAGGGAAACCACATGAACTAAACAATCGGGGCCGTATCCGCCCGCCAAGCCCCAGCCCCGCACCCCCACCTCCCAACGAAAACGACTGGACTTATGGCAACGGGCGCGCGGGGCAAGGGCGAGGGGGCGGAGGCGGCCACGACGTCCAAGTCCACGCGACTTCCCCTGCTGTCCTTCGGGTCAGCTGACGCCTCGGCGGCGCCATCGGCCGCCTCGTCGACGGCCTCGGCGGCGGCCCGACCGCCATAGCTGGCTGATCCGCTGGGGTCCCCCTCGAACGCGTCCGCCAAATCGGGGAGCATTGGCAGGTCCCCCGCGCCAGCAGCAGCCGTCACAGCACCGTCTGGGACCCGCCTGCCAGTGACCTTCTGATAGAAGGCGCGGTACACGCTGGAGGCCAAGCCGTGGATGGACTCCGGGAGCAGCCAAGCGTCAACAGCCTCCATGGCGTTGGTCCACCTCCCGCGAGGGAGGACGAGTGGCATGCCGCCAAAGACAGCCCTGATGAACCAGCGCTTGATCTTCAACAAGCAGTGCGTGCGGGAACGACAACACCCCGCGCGGCAATAATGTTCGAAGACGCCCCGTTTGGTCAGATCTCCATTCGCGAACGTGCTCACGACGAAATGGCGACGTCGTTGGATCTTGGACCGAGTCGAAGACGGATCGAAGAAAACATCCCAAACGCGTGAGCGGTGCTGGTCAGCTAAGACACCAGGGCCGACGGGGTCGTGCTCGTAATAATACCGCAAAGAACCAGACACCACTCGCACAGCCTCGTCCAAAAACATGTTAAACGCGCCTGGCGCGCGAAGTGACAGTGCCCAACGAATGCAACCTGTTATCCAAGCAGCTACAAAATCTGAAGATTTAGCCATAATCTGGGAGACCCTGTGGACAACACATTTACCTCGATATGTGTGCACAGGCCTGGTGCCATCATCTCTGGCAGTGTTGGAAACGAAACGTTCTGCACGATCGATGGCGCCGTCGCCGTCAGTTGTGCTCAAGAGTTGCTGGCGTTTGAACCTCTGGGCGCAGCTCAACACCAAAGACGACCTGCGAATGTGCTCGGCGTAACACTCGCCAATGCAGCGCTCGATGCAGGCCAGGGGCCGTGGCACATCAACTGACACCAACACAAACTCATTGCCCAAAGAGAACAATGCAGCAACAACCATATCGCTTTGAACTATTTTGCACGATGTCCCCCTATGGATGTCATTCACAAGTGCGCCCATCAAGGAATCCACTGCTTTCTGCTCATCCTCAAGCATCGGCTGGTCTGACAGCGCAGCAATGTCCAGTAACTCCTGTTCTGGGATGGTCAACCTGCTCTCGGCTAGGATCCGACAGAACTGGGTCTCATCGTAACGAAGCCTCTGGTAAATCACCTCACCACATCCACCAATTGACTCGACTTTGTCTAAAAGACGGGAAAACACAACATCGACTCCGTATTCACATCCAACCAGAAGAGCACCTGCCATAACGAGTCGTTTCGCGTGGACCGTGTGGGGCGAACATTTGGACTGGTCACTCTCAGCTTTCTGTGTCATTATAGTGAAGCCCGTGGTGTCTGGATCCAACTGCTTATGGATAAAATCAACGAGGGACTGATTTTTCAACTCAGGGACCTTTCCAGCTGCAGCGCAACCGCGCTCTCCAAACTCCACCACGCCCTTGCCCAGGGCGGAGGACGCCGCTGCGGACCCCAGCGGCTGGCCGCGGGCCTCGATGGCGAACGACTGTTCGCCAGCAGCAGCAGCAGGGACGAGCGCGGCGCCGTCGGCAGCGGGGACGAGCGCGGCGCCGTCAGCAGCAGCAACAGGGACGAGCGCGGCGCCGTCGTCGTCGTCGTCCTCGGAACCACCAAGAATGGCAGCCCACTCCGAGCCCGCGCCGCCAGAAGCCGCCGCGCCGTCGCTCTCGGCACCACCAAGAATGGCAGCCCACTCCGAGCTCGCGCCAGCCTCTGGATTCAGAATGTCGTCCCACTCCGACATCGTGGTCCACAAACGGTTTGAGCCAAAATGGTTACGGACAATGAACACATGATCCATAATTGTTGCGGGCAATGAACAAGTGAAGAACTGGTTCTAATTGCAAGCACTGGTTTCAATCTCAAGCACTGTTAGGGGATCGGGATTACCATGGCTCCAATTGCAAGCACTGTCCGTGGTTACTACAGGGGCTCTGTTACAAGATTTCCCCCAGACGCCGCCTAATCACGCTCTCCGCTTTAGACTTCCTCAACAATAATCCGCCCGCAAACACTCATGCACTCGAGGCGCGTGAGACAATCTGATCCCCTTCCTCATCATCAGACGATTTGCATCACTAATCCGAGCGGGTTTTTTTTCAATTCAAAACCATGTGCTTTTCGAGCACCCATCGGGCCGAGTACTGTGGGGGGGGTATGTGGTTTGAAACGACTACTTGCCCCTATTTTTCCAAAACCATTCCAAAAGTATTTGCGCCGACCATTTCAAAACCATTCCAAAACTATTCAAAAAGTACTTTACATGACCACCGCTTATGCGCGGCAGCGCATTCACAACCCCAGCGGCCGAAGGCGAGGGAGAGAACGATGCGGATCGAGAAAGAAGTCCAATCCTCAGATCTCTGGGACCTCAGGGTACTGGAATAGGGGGAAAACAACCCTACCTCGCTTTTGACCACCCTCGCTTCCAAGAGATACCAAACGATGCCAAACTGCAGCCTGTACTGGTCTGGCCGCTTGACGGGGAGGCGCGTGGTATGGCTTGGTTTTGCCTGGAAGCGAAAGCGGGGTAGGTAATTCACGCTCTGATGGAAGCCTGGCCCCGAAGAGCATCAGCAAGGCCTCCGACCCCGGCCATGGAGTCTCAGAGTCTGAAGACACGCCTGCAACCACGCGAACCAAAGCGAGAGTGTCCGATACACCCGCGTCGACTTGACACGGATGCGGCAGAGTTCGCAAGGGGTCGCAGACCCCTTCTTCCTCCTTCGCCGCGCGCCGACGGGCGACGGCGTGCTGGACCAGCGAAGTTCGGCTGCACGCAAGAGTAACACTGGGTGAGAGTGACCTTCGGTGCGCGGCTTTTTGGGGGCCGCGGGCGGGCCAAATCCAAGCGCGCAAGACGCTACTGCCGCACCGCGCTCGGCGATCGGGGGACCCCAGTACTTGGGCCCGCACCAAAGGTCACTCCAGCGGAAGGCCACTCTTGCGTGTAACCGACTCCTTCGCCGCGCGCCGACGGGCGACGGCGTGCTGGACCGGCGAAGTGAGGAGCACGCGCGCGGGCGCCTCCTCAAGACTGGCCCCGGGCGCCTGCCCTGCACGCAGCTCTTTCATCCGACCGCGCGCCCGCTCGCCGACGGCGAGCCCCGCCACCCCACGCCCCGGGTGCTTCCAAGGAGGCGGCTCTGGCCCAGGGCCCCGTTTTGTGAACTGCTCGCGAGAGTGCCCGCGACCGGCCCTGCCCCCTCCCCCCGACGGACGCCGGAACGAGCTCCGGGGCTACCCTGCGGCGCGGGCTTCTAATCTGACAGCCTCTGAGCCCTCAGAGAGCTATCCGGGAAGAGCCGACCCCAAGTTACCACACTGGACGCCAGCGGTAAGCCGTCAACCTGTTTACCTCCGGGGGCCTCGTAGAGCTCCAAGTCACTTGCTCGCTGCGCACTTCTGCCCTGGAGCTCACCAGAGAAGCCGACCCCCTCGCCCTCCTCCCTGGTCGCGTCTCGATTCGCGCTGACGCCATGTGGGAATTGGCTATTCCTCATCATTCCCACGTGGCGCCGGCGCGACTCGTGGCATGACCAGGCACCTCCGCCCTCCCCCCTCCCCCGCGATCACGCCCGTCGTCGCCAGAGTATAAAAAACTTGCTCTGGGGTGGCCCCAGCCCCAGCCTCTTCAAAGGTCATCGCTGTCAAGCTGGACTCGTCTTGACATCACACCAGCCACCAGCCCCTCCGGGCGTGCCCTGAGGTCCGTTGCGAAAAAATGCAACATCGAAAAGTATCACCACCGGAGCCCCAGAACCCATCTTCCTGCTGCATCTTTCGAGCCAGATCGATCTGTGAGGGCCCGCGGCCCGAAACTGGGCGAAAACGGCTGGTGTGACCAAATTGCAACGCTCGGAGCGCAGGGTAGGTGGTCTAGAGCCCTGCCTCTTCCAACCCCCAGCTTCTCCAGAAAGTCGGCTACACGTTAGAGCGACCCTGGGCAAGACTGACCTTTGGGGCGCCATTCAGGGGCCGCGGGGAGGCCGAACCAGAGCGCGCAAGCCGCTGCTAGCATGTCACGTTTAGTCATATGGTGACCCTACTGCACTGTGCCCGCACCAAAGTTCCCTCCAGCGAAAGGTCACTCTTACGCATAGCCGAGGAAGGCCCAGCTTCTCCACGGCAGCCGTCCTCGCCGACATGTGTTGTCTTCGGGGGGGGGGGGGGGGCGGGGGCGGGGCAGCCGAATGGGCCCCCAGCGGCTGCCTGGGAGGTGGGCCTGGCCCTGCCCCCTGTGGCCCCAGTTCCTTCCCCGACCACTGGGGCGACCATGCGGGTGCGAAGTTCGTCGCGCTTCGCGGCCTGGGCGGTTTCAGATCGTGGCGCGAGCCCCTCCTCCTTTGGGGGGGGGCGCGAAAGCGCGAAGATCATCGCGCTTCGCGCTTCGCGGAGCGCGAAACGCGAATATAGTTGCTCTTGGCTGCCACGGAGATCTGGGGAGGCCAGGGGCAGCGCCTCGCCCCGGAGAGGATCCGCTTCTGAGGGCCCCCCAGGGGCTCGCCGGAGGACCCCCGCAAAGGCCGAGATCGAGGCCGAAAAGTCCCATCGCCGGGGCTCTGCCGCGGCCGCCGCTCGGCCGTCGCTCTGCCGCCGCCGCTCGGCCGTCCCTCGGCCGCCGCTCGGCCGTCGCTCGGCCGTCGCTCGGCTCTGCCGCGGCCGTCGCTCGGCCGTCGCTCGGCCGCCGCCGCTCGCCGCCGCGGGCGGCGCGCGAGCGTTGCCTGCCGCCGTGGCCGCCAGCGGAGCTGCCGGCGCAGTGCGGCGGCGGCGAGTGTGGGGGGGGCAGCGGCGGTGGAGTGCTCCGCCCCGCCGTGCTCTGCGGCGGAGAGGGCGGCCGCTGCCTGCCGCCGCGCCTCCTCCTGCTGCCTCCTCATGTTCCTTCTCCTCCTCCTCCTCCTCCTCCTCCTCATCCTCCTCCTCCTCCTCCTCCTCCTCCTCCTCCTCCTCCTCGTCCTCCTGCTCATGCTCCTCCTCCTCCTCCTCCTTTTCCTCCTCCTCCTCCTCCTCCTGTTCCTCCTCCTCCTCCTCTTCCTCCTCCTCCTCCTCCTCCTCCTCTGCTCCCTGCTCGTCCTCCTCGTCCCCCTCGTCTTCCTCCTCCTCCTCCTCCCTCCTCCCTCCTCCTCCTCTTCCTCCTCCTCCTCCTCCTTTTCCTCCTCCTCCTTCTCCTCCTTTTCCTCCTCTTCCTCCTCCTTCTCCTCCTCCTCCTCCTCTTCCTCCTCCTCTTCCTCCTCCTCCGCCCCCCTTTTCCTTATGACTAACTCCTCCCTGTCGCACCCTAAGACGTGTTGGTAGGACGGGCCGGGCGTTTCGCTTGAGACTTCCTCACCACGTATGATGTGGCTCTCGCCTTAGAGCCGCGTATTCTCGTCCTTAAGATGTGCAGCGCATGCACTCAATGGCGGCGCGCGCATGTGCCCCGCATCGTCTAATCAGTGAGGGGCTCCTAGAGAACACCGCTTCTTAGAGCTTCAGCGGTCTCGACCCAAGCATCTGCCAGCAAACGCGCGACACGCCGGCGTCCACCCAGGATGGCCAGCTGTGCCTGGAAGTACCCCGACAGGTGGAATAAATTATCTGCAGGAAAGAAGAATGAAGCTGCCGAGGGGGAGAGGAAGATGGAGGGCAGGTCCTTGTCAAAATGTAGCTCTCGTCTTTGCGCCGCGCACATTTATCACCAAAGTTTGCAGCAGCTTCTAGGATGGAGAACAGTTCCTTTTCCAAAGTGTGGTCCTCGCTCTAGCGCCGCGCACATCCGTATCAAAGCTTGTAACAGCTTCAAAGATAGGGGGCGGGTCCTTTTCAAAGTGTAACTCCTGCATCAGCGCCGCGCACATTCGTCTTGAAAGTTTGCAACAGGTTGAAGGATCCGCACGGTTGAAGTCCTAGGGATGGTGTTCTGGCACGGTTTACGAATATCAGGGCGCAGCAGTCACCTTGATTCGCAGTGTTGGAGTCCCAGAGATGGTGCTATCTCGGATTGTCAAAGCGCAACAATCAGCGCTGCAATCCCAAAAATGTCTGGGCAAGATTGAGACGGTTGTCTTCCAATAGGCAGACTCCCGCAATGAAAACTGCAGGAGCCCATGAAGAGGGAACGTGGAAGGAGAGAAGATTGCAACATCGTTGATGCAGTATTGGGCTTACACTAAACCTCCTCCTCTTCCTCCTGATGCTGCCTCCTGCCTCCCCCTGCTGTTTTGCCTCCTGCCTCCTCCTTCTCGCTTTCCTGATCATCCCTCATCCTATGTCCCCTGCTCATCTTCTTCCTCCTCCTCCACTTATTGGTTCGCTTTCTCCTTCCATTCCTCCTTTTCCTCCTCCTCCTCCTCCGAATCCTCCACCTCATCATTGTCATCACCATCCTCATGACACTTGCCACCATGATCTCCATAATGATCGTATTCCTTATGGTATCCCTTCTCCTGCTCATGGTCCTCCACTTTCATAATGCCCTCATACTGGTCCTCTTCAACCTACTCGTTAGCTTCGTGATCCTCCTCGTCGTCCTTCCCAACGTCCGTGTCATCGTTCTCGTCGCCCCCCCAAGAAACGACATTCCGCAGATCCTCGTCCGCTTCCTCGGTACCGTGCGTATCCGTTCCCACCCTACTCATCATCCCTGCTCCCTCCTCCTGGTGTCCAGACCGCTCCCGGGCTGGTATGTCAGCGCGGGAGGCCCACTCACCTATCACTCGGCTCCGTCTTCCTTCCCCTTCTGCATCCAACTCCTCGCCGGTATCTGCCTTGACGAATGCACCCCTGTCTTTGCCCTTTTTACGCCCCAGTGCAAACCGGGTCTGTTCGCGAAATCCTCGTTCCCGATCCGCCGCTCTGCTTTTTGTCCCCTCGTCGCCCCCCGCCCCCTGCGTTCCTCCCCCCTGCCCTTTTCTTCCACGGGACTCCCAGGAAGCCCTTGCTCGCCTCGCTGGCCCCCCGTCACGTCTGGTCTTGTTGCGCTCTCTTCCCATCCCTTCCCCCCACACCATTATCCTCCTTGCCGTTGCAGCGCCAGCCTATTGGCCCAGACCGTTCATACCAAGAGCCAGGAAAAGTTGACTTCAGACACTCAGTCCCCGTCTCCCCTTTGGGAGGGGGCGCAGTGACGTCACACAATCAGGTCCCGGCCCCGTCGCGGCGCGACGCAACCTGTCAGGCAGTTCCTTTCCCCTTCCCGACTCCCACACTCCTCATCCTCCTCCTCTTCCTCCTCCTCCTCCTCCT